ATGCAGAATACTACATTATTTCCTTGGGCCAGTTAGATTCGTTCCACCGCCTTATGACTATAATCATAAGCTAGAATCAAAATTGGGGGATCAATTCATAAGCTCGAGGTGGAGGCAAAAAGTGATTCGCGTCGCGCCGCGACGTTAAATCAAGTGCTTGTTGGGAGGCAACCCAGCTTTATTGCTTTCTTTTATTTATTTTTTGTTTTTTTAATTGTATTATTTTTGTAGTGTAAATTTTTTTTAGGAGCATGGAAAGCAAAGGTATTGGAATGATGCAACAACAAATCAAATGGTTGGAACTAAGTGTGAGGTACCCGCACGAAGGACCAAGCCTGGGAGAAGTCTGAGTACCCCATGAACTGCTAGTGTTTCGCCCTTTGGCCTACCAGGGAGTTTCTCTTACCCTCTTATGGTTATGCTGTGCATTGGGGACAATGCACAATTTTAAGTGTGGGGTGATGAGATTGTCTGGGTGACTTTTCATGCTACTTTAGCTGTATTAGTTTAATTAAATAGTATTCTTTTTTTAAAAGATTGGACTTTTCCCGACGATGGATCTATTAGACAATTTTCTTGAGGGATTTAAGTCTAAAGAAAAAAAAAAGATTTTCTTTGTAGGTAGTGTAATAATTTCCCCTTGGTTTTTCTTTGTACCGCGGTTCTTTTCCAAGGATTTTATTTGAACCGGGTGTAGTTTAGTTTTTTTTTGGGAGTAGGAGCCATTGTGTTGTGTTTTGAATTGAAGCAATATCTCTTGACTTGGTTATGCCTTGAGAATAGTGAGTACTTTGGCTGTGACGCTTAGGCTCAGTTTTTGACTCTTGTATAAGTACCTTAAATTGTATGATCTTAACTTTGCTTAACTGCTTTGGCTAGAGTATCTTGATGAAACCAATCCTGAGTGAGTTATGTGCCATGTGTGTGTAAGGATTTGTTATATTCTGTGCATTGCATTTGATGCCTAGAACTTGCCCTGTGTGTTTGCAAAGCGAAATAGTAGTTTTGTTCAATCTTGGAAGTGATATAGGCGTTTCTTTGTTGAGCCAGATATGTATATTTTACCCACCTAATTGCTATATATCGTAGTTAACCCCTTTGAGCCTATAATCCTGTTTCTTTGGCAACCACATTACAAGCCTTACCCATTTGTTTGAATGGACTATCTAGTTGAACCTTTTAACCTCTCATAAGCACTTGAATTGTGATGATTTATGTAAAAGTTAAAGTGTGGGGTGGTTGGTTTGGCTTTTGAGTGGAACTAATGAAATCAGGAGAAAGGTGCACTATTTTGAACAAGTAAGAGCCACTTGAATTGAAAAAAAAAATATAGCTGTATTGCTGTGAAAAAAAAAAGTATTTCTTTAATAAGTGGTGACTCTTGCTGTAATTGTGCTTAAAGAAGTATGGGGTAATATACATTGATGTGAAGGTGGAGTTTGGTTTGACATAAGTATGGGGTTTGAATGTTAAAGTATATGTATTAAAGTGCTTAGGGAGGTGTAGTCACTCTTATATCTAAATATATCCTACCGTCTCGTAGCCTACATTACAACCAAATAAAGTCCTAATTGATTCTAGATTGAATGAGCTTGATTAGTGGAGTAGTACACTACGGGCAAGCTTATGGTGCATCTTTTGTGGCATATGAATGTTATTTCTGAGAGTGAGTGAATTATTTCTATCTTGAGTTCCTAAGTGTTCTTAAATTTTATTGTGTGGAACTACTCTCTTTCATTGTGTGAGGGCACTTGATTCATGAAGGAAAGGTAATGTTAGTGACCTCTATATTAGAGTAAGTGGGTGAGTTGTGAATAATGCATGGTACTTATGAGTCAAATCTTGAAGTGAAGATGTTATGCTTTTGTGCTTAGTCTATTTTAAATACTCGTGGTGTGATGAGTTAGGAGAATTGTTTAAAAAGGTCGTGTCTATAAAAAAACTGTAGTTTGATTGCTCGAGGACGAGCAAGAGTTTAAGTGTGGGGTGTTGATAAATGATGAAAAGTGCATATTTTTGAGTATATTTGCATATTAATTCTTGTGTGTGTCGCGGGAGATTAAATGATTTTCAAAGTGAAATATACTCATTATGTGTTTCTTACGTGTAGGAACGAGTTTGGATGATAAATGATCAAAAGATGACAATTCGATACAAAAAGAAGAAATTAAAGGAGTGGGAGCTCGTCTATTCTCGTGCGTGGCACGAAGTCGGACGCGAAAAAGGAGAAAAGTTAATGCACAAAACAGCGAAGCGAAGCAAAGGCACGGAGCACTTCGCGAAATGGAAGAATTTCAAAAGCTGGATCCGCGTCAAAGTCCGCGTCGAGACGCGAAGGCAAACGCGGATCCGCGTCGAAGTCCGCGTCTAGACACGAGGGCAGACGCGGATTCCAGCTCTCCCATCCGAAGTTGGATTGAAGAATTCCGCCCCTCATCAACCCTAGGTCATATAAATACATCCTAAAATACCACTTTGAAGGAGAGACACTACTTTAGGGTTAGACAACACCCTTGGAGGCAAGAACACGCTAGGAGCAAGGAGGAAGATTTAACTACGAGTTTTTCCCCTTCTTCTTCCTATTTTATTGTTGGTTATGAATTGGAGTATTGTGTTTTCACATACTTTTATGAATAACTAATTTATTATCTAGAGTTTTGATGGAACCTTTTGGGAATGAATTGGTTGTTATATTAATATAGTTTTGAGTTAGTTGTTAGTCTCTATTTGTTCAACTACATTTTGATTTTGGTTAATTGAAAAGATCCTCAATTAGCCGTTCCTATTTATTATGTATCTGCTTGAGAGAGAGTGCATATTTAGGTAGTTGTTTGAACAACATCACTCCCGGAGTATAGGCGAGAGTCATAACCGAGGGTTTAGAGGTTGGATTAGAGATAATGATACCTCGGGTGCGATCTAAGTGAACTGTAATGTGAATCTAGCTAGCATAGCTTGAGAGAGTGCGTCTAGTAAATTATCATAATTGCTTGAGAGAGATTTATGCTAGCTGGAGAGTTCATGATTGATAGAGGCAACTAAGTCAAAGTTATAAGAAACATACAATTAATGAAATCAACAATTGGGGAAATCATAACTCTAGAAATATAAAAATCTTAATATTATAATTTAGAAATTGTTCAAACTTGTCTTCTTTGGGATATTGAACAATTACAGCGAAACCTTAGTTCTCTGTGGGATTCGACTCCGGACTTTTAGACCGGATTATATTTGCAGCGACCGCTTATCCTTTTTAGGACTAGAGTTGGGCTTGATCATGCGTCTTAGGAGAACATTGTTGGTTTAATTAAACCCCGACAAAAGTCTGATATTTAACTGGAGAAATATTAAGGAGATGATCCACTAAATTCCGATCTGAGCGTCACTGATCCTCTGGTATTTTTCAATTACCCAAGAAAGAAAATATCATATTTTGTTGGGAGATGAATTCAATCATATATTTTTTGGTTAATTAACAAGATAAATAAGAGTAAAACTAAAAAGTATTGCAAATTAAAGCAAGAAAGGAGCGTTTAAATGAGAGCATACTGTATTTTCTCATTTATTCCGTAACTTTTTTAAGTTTAAATTTTATTTCTGCTATTTTCGTCATCATTATTTATTCAGCAATATAATTGTATGAATGAACTGATTGCATACATTTAATGATAAGAATCAAAATGAAGGAACGTAGAATTGTCAAATATGCTGCAAACCATGTCATTAATAGAAAAAAATTAAAGAGTCGTTTGTAGGGAGGATCCATGCTCATAATTCATGTGTTTCATCTAGTTACACGTACTTTTGTTTTGATGAAAAGAAACTACCATTAAAGTTTTAATTAATTATACTTTGCCAAAAGAAAAACTACTTCTCTCCACTGGCCTACCCAATTACCAATTATTTGAATTGATTGTTATTTAGTCGACCAAATTAAAACGTTTTGCCGGCCAAATTAAAGCCCATTATTTAAGTATTTGTGCTCCCTATGGACTAAATCAAACTAATTAATTTTGATTTTGTTGTGATTAAAGGAAACTTGTGATGACCCAAAAGGTCATCTCTTGTTTCAGAAGTCAAATATGTGTTTCTAGGCCTTAAAGACCTCCTTTTGTCTCACCTCAATTTGTGTGCGCAGTCGGGGCGCGTTTCCGGAAAGCTTTTATGTGAAATTTAAGAAAAATATTGAATTTTGCCTTTAAAATTGATTAAAGTTTACTTCGGTCTACATTTTTGGTAAATGGACCCAGATCCGTGATTTGACGGTCTCGTAGGGTCCGTAGTAAAATATGGGACTTGGGCATTTGCCCGAAAACGAAATCCGAGGTCCCTAGCCGGAGTAAAGAATTTTTAAAGAAAATTGTTTGCTAGAAAAATATAAGGATTTTTGGAAATGAAATGGTGTGTGATCTTGATGGTATCGGGCCCATATTGTGGTTCCGGAGCCCGGTACATGTTTAAAATAATATTTACGTCGAATCTGTGAAATTTGATAAGAATCGGAGTTGATTTGATATAAATCGGACCCTAGGTTGAGGAAATGGAAAATTTGAACTATCTTATGAATTTCAAGAATTTGAGGTTAAATTCGTAGTTGTTGATGTTATCACTACAACAAATTTGGGCTAAAGCCACAGTTATTTTAGACCACGCTTGAAAAGCTTTATCAAAAATGTCTATGGGAACGCTTTTGTAAGGGTGGTCTTTAGTAATAGCTTTTGGCCACAGTTCTTAGGTAACGCTTGTAAAATGTTATCTTTAACGGTAAAGAGCACACTTTTTAAGCGATGACACTTCATAATATGTTTGGCAACACTTAGTAAGATGTTAGGCAACACTTCACATGTGTTCCTTTTAGTATTTTCTAAAACATCACTATTTAAGCGTGCCTTAAACTATTTCCTAGAAGTTCCCGCTAAATTTTTCCCAAAAAATGTTTCCACCAAAAATTTTAAAAACAATTTACCCCGCTAAAATCTAGGAGCGGATTTTTTGGGGAAAGATAGCAGGAGGCAAATATCCATGCTTCTCTTCTTCTTTCGTCTTGTTATTCAGAAAAAAATAAAGTTCTTATTCCATCAGTGAGAAATCGATTCAATCAGAAAGTCAATCTAAGTTATCTCTTCTTGAGATGCTCTCTGGTCGTATGCGTATTGTTCTATTATGTCGTTCTGTGCTATTATGTCTTCGTTTGATTGTGTTCTAACGCCATCTGTTTCATCAGCAAGTTAACAAGTCGATTCCATCTGCAAGCTTTGAGATCGATTTCATCGGCACGCTAGTTTGGGGATTTCGATGTGGTTTAGGGCTGACTTCGTTTCCCAAAAACTTATGGGTAAGATATCTTTAAAAATTTCCTTTCAGTTTAATGGCTTTGCTATTTGGATTCTCTGGAATTCCTTTTCATCTTAAGGGAATGCCCTTTTTATTCTAGTTATATTTTCATTTGTTCGTCAATTTGTCAATTTGTCTGTAATGTTTATTGCAGGAACTGAAAGTTCCATATCTTATATACTGTGGAGTTTTGATGGAACATGATAACTTAAAATGGCCCTGCAGAACGGTTTGACAGCTCTCCAACAGAGAAAACTTAATGTAAGTCTAGATAGTAATTTGATGGTTTCAGCCTTGATAAAGGCTTTCTTGAAAATTCTTGATTAATCATAAGAGAATTTTAGTTCATCAAGCTATTTGGTGTAATATATGGTAGAAGATTGAAAATATATAGCGATTTGAACTTAATAATATGGAAGAAAAACTTGACAACTAAGCTACCCCCATATTGTGTTTGCAATTGTGGAATGAACCTAAACAGTTGGGACATCTCACTCTTATGGAGAAAACTTGATATATATCTAACACTTGTGTGTAACTTGAAATTGTTGTAGGGTGAGTAATTGATAGCAAATATATAATCCACCAGGGCATTCAAAATTCGGGTATTCCATCATTAGAAAGGTAATAGTCTACACTATATCCATAGAAGCCATGTTATTATTATGATTATAGTTTACATAATGATCTTATTAGAAGTTTATAGACTTCTAATAAAAGAGACTACATTTTTTCGATTGTAAACTTCCAGTCTAATCATTGTTGAAATTCCATTGTAAACAAAAAGACTACATATTTCTTTTGTTTCGCCAAAACAAGAGTTTGAGCTCGGAGACTGATCACTTCCGGTAGTGGTATCAGGATGTTTTTCCTACTATTTTCATCCTGATATATAATGATTGTGGTTGATTAATTCTCCCCCTCACCCTTGGAATCACGTAAGACTCTTACTGCAACATAGATTTCTTTGGAAAGTTTGCTTTTTTAAACAATTCCATGACTTCCTTCTCCTATGTTTTCCGTAAAATCATCTATTTTCTTAAATATTTTGCATAAGAATATCTAGTTGGTCTTGTGACCTTGTAGTCTTCTAAAAACTTTCAAGTCTAACTTGATCCTCTCTTCATTTTTAATTGTCAAATTAAATTGATAAAATGTGAGAATAAAGTTTGATCCTATTCATGGAGATTCCGTAACTATTCAAAAAATGGAAAGTTCGACACAATTGGGATTTTTTTTTTTGGAAATTGGAAGCAGTTACTAATTCATGATCTGGCATTTACAGAATGAAAACTTCATTCTCAATTCTACGAGAATTTTTATGAAAGCCTTTCATTCGCTTCTCTTCGATGGAAGTTTGATTTTCCCAGAATGTATCCTAATTTTTGGCCTAATTCTTCTTTTGATGATCGATTCAACCTCTGATAAAAAAGATATACCTTTGGTTATATTTCATCTCTTCAACAAGTTTAGTAATGAGCATAACGACCCTATTGTTCCGATGGAGAGAAGAACCTATGATTAGCTTTTCGGGAAATTTCCAAACGAACAATTTCAACGAAATCTTTCAATTTCTTATTTTACTATGTTCAACTCTATGTATTCCTCTATCCGTGGAGTACATTGAATGTAAGAAATGGCTATAGCAGAGTTTCTGTTATTCGTATTAACAGCTACTCTAGGGGAATATTTTTATGCGGTGCTAACGAATTAATAACTATGTTTGTAGCCTCATTAGACCGTACATCTTTCTTGGTATATCCAGATAATAGGTAGGAGCATAAACTGAAACATGTATTTGTCGAGAAGTGCAAAATCGTATGGATACAATTCTCATTTTGTATCTTAATTAATTGGATCGTTTCTTTATGGATTCCTATCCCAAACTGTTCGAGATGTGTTTCCGAGTATTCCTTGATCATTTAGTCCAAGAAGAGGAGTTCCTCTAATTCTATAAATTTTTCTAGAAGACTCTATTCTTGAATATTATTCAAAAAAAATTCAAATTCCCCAGTATTCCACCAATTAGTAACCCAAGATTCCAGACATTTATTAACTGAGAAAGAAATCCACCAGGGCAAAAATACTATAGATGCAAGATAGTGGAAACAAGAATGGTGCCTAAAGTTACATCTACAAAATTGAATAAAACATGTCTTAAATATGAAGGAAAATCAAATAGGAAATGAATAGAGTAAGAACTTCGAAGAAGTTGAGATTTTGAGAAAACTGACCTGCAATCAAGGGCTTCTTAGTAATATCTTTGATGCTCAAATTTATAGTTTCTGTGAAGTGTTTTGTTATCCATATCAATGATGGAAAAAGAAAAAAAATGTAAGGCATATATAGTAAGACAATATCTTGATTCTATCCTTAAAACCACAATCCAATCTTTTGAACTCAAATAGAAAGTCTATCACATGGTATATCGGCTCATGGTGATCTCTGTTTATATGCAGATTAAGATTAAATATATTGTATTTTAGTCTTCATCTCTGTAAAAAAAATCTCCTTATACAGCTACATGGATATAATATACTGCCTTTTTATCTTTGCTTTCTATGAAACGTTTTGACTACTCAAAGAGAAGAACACCCCTATAAATGAACAAAGTCGATGAGTTAATGTTTTTATACATAGTTATGGTCCATTATCGTTGGTACCTAAGTTCTTATTAAGCCTAGCTTGTGCATTTCTTTGGTTTGGTGATTTCTATTGCATGTTGGATTAAACAGGATATAGCAGGGTGCATCCAATCTAACGTATATTCATGATCTAGTTAGTCAAGTTTTTTCAATCCATGCTCTTGTATATTCATGATACTATATGAATACATACTCTATATTGTTTCTAATTTTAATTTGATTTTGAATGTGCAGGAAATTGTGCATGATGTAATTTAACGTGATGTAATTTAAAATGGTGGCCCCAAGTCAATTTGATCTATTCAAGTGAATATAGAAGACTTTTGAAACAATTGAGATGTTTGTATATATTCGACGTTGTAGAGTTTATGTCACGATCCAATTCCCGAACCCGATCGTGATGGCGCCTCTCGTGAAGACAAGGCCAGCCAGCACAAAGGAAACACCTCTTTTAAAAAATTAATTAACATAAACAGATCTAAAGCATGTTTAAGATAGCTATAATTGCGGAAATAACGATAATAACAAGGATAACCATCCCGACACAGCCCAAACCGGAGTGTCACAAGTCATGAGCTACAACAGAATCTGCTATGAGTCTACAAATCATGAAGTCCAATACAATAGTCTGAAAACATAAATGATAGAGGATAAGGGAGACACGAGGCTGCGGACGTCAACAGCTACCTCGTAACTCCAAATCACTGCCTGGCCTGGAAGGATCAGTGCTCAGGAGCGGACTCTGCTATGCCTGAATCTGCACACACGGTGTAGGGAGTAATGTGAGTACTCTGACCCAGTGAGTAATAATTATAAATAATGACCGAAGGTATGAAAACACATAAAGGCACAAAGAAATTCTATATTAGGCAGTAAATCACTTAAAGCAGTAAAACCGTGAAGGATCAAATGAAATCTTTTTTAAGAAAAACAGGTAGATCAGGTAAAACAACACCTAAATAGCAAGTAGAAATCTGCCCCTCGGGCTCAATATCAATCGCTCGGAATAGTATCAGCCCCTCGGGCTCATCATCAGTCACTCAGCATAGTATCAGCCCTTCGGGCTCACTCTCAGTCACTCAACATAGTATCAGCCCCTCGGGCTCACTTTCAGTCACTCAGCATAGTATCAGCTCCTCGGGCTCACTCTCAGATCATGTGGGTACCCGCGCTCACTGTGGGTGTGCAGACTCCGGAGGGGCCCCTTACGGCCCAAGTGCTATACCAAGCCACCTCGTGGCATCATCACTCGGCACTCGGCCTCCCATCACTCAAGCCACCTCGTGGCACATAAAGTATCTCATATCACTCAGCATATCCTCACATATGGCCCTCGGCCTCACTCAGTCCAGAAATCATCACAAGCCCCCTCGGGCATCAGTAAAACAGTAGTGCTCAGCCCAAACAACATTGGAAATATCATTTAAGTCTAAAAATTCAAGTAAAAGTGGCTGAGTTTGTAAAGTAGTATTAATCAATAGGACTGAGTTCAAGTAATTATGTCAAAATAGTGGGGAAACAGTGATAAAAGTCCACGAAGGATTCAAATATTCGGTATGAAGCCCAAATATGGCGATAAGCCCAAATCATGATGATAACCAACAAGTCTCAGTCACATACGCGGTAAAAACATCATTCGGGACGGACCAAGTCACAATCCCCAATAGTAAACGACCCCGCGCTCGTCATTAAGCGCGTGTCTCACCTCAATATAGCACTACTTTGTGCAATCCGGGGTTTCAAACCCTTAGGACATCATTTACAATCATTACTCACCTCAAGCCGGCCAAAACTCTCGCTCGCTATGCCCTTGCCTCTCAAATCGGCCTCCTTGCGCGTCGAATCTGACCAAAACCACAACGAATACATCACAGTAGGCTAAGGGAACAAAACCCAATCGAAAATAATCGAAAAACATCAAAAATCCCAAAATTTGCAAAACCCGAGCCCCGGGCCCACTTCTCGAAACTCATAAATTTTCACATCAACGGGTTCCTTATCTCGCCACGAGTATATACATATCAAGAACTCTCAAATCCGAGCTCAAATGACCCATCAAAACCCAATCTAAAATCTCCAATTTCCAAGCCCTAGTTCTTCCCCTTTTTGCTAAGTTTTCATAAATTTTTAGGTTAATCACACAATTAAATCATGTTTCTAGTTCATAAAACTTACCTCCAATCAATCCTCTTCGAAACCCTCTTCAACTTCTTCCAAATAGCTCTCAAAATGTTCAACAATGGAGGAAAAATGGTTTAGACTCGCGGAGGAAATGTTTTAAAAACCCTTCTGCCCAGCTGTGCTTTTCTTCTATGCGATCGCGGCCCTAGGCTCGCGATCGTGAAGAGCAATATTCCAAGGCCTCCAAATTGGCCTATGCGAACGCGATCTTCCTGGTGCAAACACGATGAACAGATAAGCTGGGTCCCCAGGTCCTCTTACGCGAACGCGGACTCCTCAATGCAAACGCGAAGAACCAATAACTTCCCCTCTGAGATCGCGGGCCATCTATTGCGAACGCGTAGAGTAAAACTCCGGCCTGCTCAAATCCTTCTATGCGATCGCGGCCCCAGGCTCGCGATCGCGAAGGCCAAATTGAACCTGCAACATCTGCTGCATTTCTGCAATCTCTCCAAGACTCAAACTTCCCGTTTAGCCATCCGAAATCACCCCGAGGCCCCCGGGACCTCAACCAAAAGTACCAACACATCCTAAAACATCATCCAAACTTGTTCCAATCATCAAAACACCTCAAACAACACAAAAACCATCAATTCTCATCGAATTCAAGCCTAAGTTCTTCAAAAACTTCCGAAACACGCATTCGATCAAAAACCTAACCAAATCACCTCCGAATGGCCTGAATTTTTACACACACATCCCAAATCACCTAATGAAGCTACGGCAACTCTCGGAATTCCATTCCGACTCTCGGATCAAAATCTCACCTATCAACCGGAATTCGCCAAAATACTAACTTCGCCAATTCAAGCCTAATTCTACACCGGGCCCTCCACAACCACTTTCGATCACACTCCTAAGTCACAAATCATCTCCCAAAGCTAACCGAATCACTAGAAATCACATCCGAGCCCTCTAACACATAAGTCAACATCTGGTTGACTTTTCCAAACCAAACCTTCCTTAAAGAGACTAAGTGTCTCATTTCCTACCAAAACCAGTCCAACTTAACTCGACTGCACATGACATGGATAACGAAGCATCAAGAAGCATAAAATGGCGGAAACGGGGCGGTAACTCATAAGACGACTGGCCGGGTCGTCATATCCTCCCCAACTAAAACAAATGCTCATCCTCGAGCGGGTCAAGAAACATACCTGAAGCCTCAAACAGGTGAGGATATCGACTCCGCATCTCCCGCTCGGTCTCCCAAGTAGCCTCCTCCACGGGCCGACCTCTCCACTGCACATTCACCGAAGCTATATCCTTTGATCTCAACTTTCAAACCTAACGATCCAAAATAGCCACTGGCTCCACATCATAGGTCAAATCATCATCCAACTGGACCGTGCTGAAATCCAAAACATGGGACGGGTCCCCAACATACTTCCGGAGCATAGAACATGAAATACCGGATGCACGCCCGACAAGTTGGGTGGCAAGGCAAGCATATAAGCCACC